CGGAGGTTGAAAATGACCGCAGAGCACTCAATGTTTTTTACGGTATGCGAAGAGCTGTTAAAGAAGGCCGTGTCATGGGTAAAGCTCCATTTGGTTATGCGAACAAGATGACAGAAAATGGTAAAAAATATATAGCAGTAAAAGAACCTGAAGCAGCCAAGATGAAATGGGCATTTAATGAATTAGCAAAAGGAATTTATGCCAGCAATTCCGTAAGAATTAAAATTAATGAGTCATTACGAAAAGGGATTAGTAGAACATCTTTTCACTTGGCTATTCGCAATCCTATCTATTGCGGTAAAGTCTTTGTTCCAAAACATAAAGATGAAGCAGCCTGTTTTGTTGAAGGTCAACATGAAGCTTTAATCAGTGAAGAACTTTTTGATCGCGTACAGGAGATTTTGGATGGTAAAAAACGAACTCAAAGACCCAATATAAAAATCACTGTTAAGGAAAACTTTCCTCTTCGAGGATTTTTAACTTGTCCCAATTGTGGTAAGACCCTTACCGCCAGTGCTTCAAAAGGTAGAAATAACAGATACTTTTATTACCATTGCAATTCTGTTTGTGGTTTCAGAGAAAGAGCAGAATTGGTCAACAAAGTTTTTGAGGATGGACTAATGACATTGGAAATGAATGAACCCATTAAAAATATCTTAAAAAGATTTTAACGGATAATTATAAGAATTTTATTGATGATCCATTAAAGGAGAAAAAGAAAATATCAGACGAGATTGATACATTAAATAATAGGCTATCCTTTGCTCGAAACAAATTTCTTTCAGAGGTAATTGACGATGATGAATATCTGGAAATAAAGAAAGAATGTAAAGAACAGATTTTAAAGTTGGAAGAAGATTTAAATAAAAATTCAGTTCCTCAAATAAGCAATATAGATAAACTGCTTGAACAAGCTTTGGAAACCCTTCAAAATATTGGAAAACACTACTTAGAAGGAGGAATTGAGACAAAGCGGGCAATAATTGGTTCGATATTTCCTGAAAAATTGGAATTTGACGGAAAACATTATCGAACCACCCGAATCAACTCCATAGCACACCATATCTTCCAGATTAATAATAAGTTAGTACATAACAAAAAAAAGAGAAACAATCATATTGATTATTTCTCCTTGAATGTAGCCCGTAGGGGAATCGAACCCCTCTTACCAGAATGAAAATCTGAGGTCCTAACCGATAGACGAACGGGCCATCTAGTTTCTGCAAATGCAGGGTTAGCTTTTGTTTTTAATAAGTTGCAACTCTTATTTAATTACCAGGTTAGAGTAGTAATTAAATTTTGTAGCCCGTAGGGGAATCGAACCCCTCTTACCAGAATGAAAATCTGAGGTCCTAACCGATAGACGAACGGGCCAACTATACTTATTAAGCTAGTTTATTAACGTGCTTGTTAATT